ATATATATATATACCAAATTTTGTTTCGTAGGATGGACCTCGAAGATGAAAACAAATTTCTCCAAGGAATCTCCAGTGTGGCTTTTAGGTGCTAGTTACCATAAAAAAGCTGAGCCTCCCGAGACTGCCTCTGAAGCTGTTGGATTTGATACAGACTCGAGTGGTGATATTTCTGTCGCTGAAGATGCTGCGAATTTCGACGAGGGTATGGAGGGCTTTAAGAGAGACTTTATTTCGAGATTATGGTTAACCTATAGAAGAGAATTCCCTATTCTGAATGGCTCGACGTTTACATCTGATTGTGGATGGGGCTGCATGCTCAGGAGTGGACAGATGATGCTGGCACAAGCACTTGTCTGTCATTTTCTTGGGAGAGGTAAACCATAAATATATTAAACCTAGTTTATTCACTAAAGCCTAGTACTGGCGAGATGGTGAAATGAAATAAACCGAGCGATCGAGGAATGGTAACTCGATGCATAACCTACAATTTCTGGTGGAACAATCTCGCCAGTCGTGCTTTATCTCATGAAGAATTTACCGTCATATTATTCAGGCGCTAGCGCTGCGGAATTCACTCTAAGCTATCTAGCATCGTCGCGAAACGGACAATTCCTTTTAAAGTAATTCATTAGTCGCAGCCTACTCCCCCCTTCCCAATAATTGTGGTTGATTAAAGAACGTATCTTTTTACGTGTCCATGATTTTTTCATCCGTTATTGCGGTTTAATTGGGGGTATATTGTTTATAACAATTATGTATTTATTGCTTGAGAATGATAGTATTCTAAAAATTTGAACAGAAATTAGTTCCTAATGACAAAACTATTTGACCTACTCAATAAAAAATTCGAATGCGTAGCGGCTACGCGTTGCATAAATGAAACTTCGTAATTCTATCCTGAAAAAGAAAAGTCTACTTTTGGATTTTCAAATGATGAAATAAGACTGATTGAAAGAGAGATAGCAAATTTCATATTATTCAGTTTATATTTCAGTATTTTGAATATTACTCAACAGAACGTCCGCCTCAATTTTCATTTACTGACGCTCCAGAAATGCACGAATACCGAAATGAATACTCTGGAATATCTACAGTAAATTTTACGGGAGGAAACTGATTATTAGAATTTAGCCCCTCTGTCGGTTTCTTTGCTGGAATCTCTGAAATCATACTCAGAGTGGATTTTGTAAAATACCGCCGCTAAGCTCTTAGTTTTCAATATGTTAAAAAAACAAGTACTTTACCGGAAAAGTTTTGCTTTTTGTGACTGCGTGCTTCGTCATTGTGGATCAGTGTTGAACGTGGAGGGGTCGAACAATCATGAATTGAGTAAAATAATTAAAGAGGGGATTTTCAAGCTGAAATCGCATGTTGTACTTCACGATATCGTATACCGCCCGTAAAGCGTAAAATGGATACGACATCCTGAAGTACAACATGCGATTTCAGCCCCAGAATAGCCTTGCAGAAGGCTTTCTCGTTTTGCCTCGCAAGGGTCAAGCGCAACGATCATACCTGTCAAGAATCATGTCTCTCGAGTGGCAAACATCGCAAGGGTCATGTCTCGGTAAGCTGATCCGTCGCCCGGATCACATCTGACGAGGATCAAATGTCGCAAGGATTATAACTCGCGAGGGTCAAACGATGGAGATAGGCAGGATAATTATAAAAGTTTCAACTTGGAGAGGCAGGCGGGATAACCACCATTTCAAGGATCAAACGGCAAGCAATACAAAAGTCAAACGGCCCTATGACTACACTTGATTTATGATTTTTTGATACTTAAGATTGCCCTGTTTCTCCTTGTTGATCCTTCTAATCTGGTGACGTATGATCCACCTAAGGGATGGCCCTCTTAGTATTTATACTGGGGATATTTGATAGGGTCGGTGACAAAATCCCCGGCGGCCAAAATCCCCGCGAACAAAATCCCCGAAAAAGTGGCCGATATGTCCGAAGCGCCTCCAGTGGTGAGAACATGAAATAAATCTCTACTTCATTAAATTTTTATCTATTTTTTTATTATTATTATTATTTTCTTTTCTTTTAAACCGAATTCGTCACAAGAAGCTTGCGACTGGCCATCGCGCGAGGGTCTTGAGCCTGGTTTGGTTGGTATTATTATATATTCATTTTTTATTTTATTTCATTTTTAGTCACAATAATAGTTTTTATTCATTGATTTATTTATCATTAATTTTTTAATGCGATGACTCACCAGTGGCTAGTGTACCTGCATTATATTCTGAACCTTAAATTTTCTGACCCTTCAACTTTTGAAATATCTTTTTATGAAATAAATATTTCCTTTAATTTTTATTTATAAAATAATAATTTTTTTTTTCGATGACGCGTTGGTTACTACAACCAATTACCCAGGGACGTAACCAAAAGTTTTGGGCCCCGCGAACTCTGAAAGATAATTTATTTCTTCCCTTTTTTTTCAATTTTGTTCCTCAAGTCTTTCATCGGTGTACGTAGGTACTTCTCCTCCGAAGACAAAATCATTCCAGAAAAGGAGAAATAAATCACGAAACCCATTTATTCATCCATTTGATTTTCTTAAGGGTCGTTGATTAAATCTAGTATCCACTTATTATCCACCCGCCCTCCCACAACATTTTTCAAAGGAAAATGATGGGCGAATAGGGGACAATAATTTCTTGGCTCAAACTGNCAAGGGTCGTTGATTAAATCTAGTATCTAATTATTACCCACCCGCCCTCCCACATACGCACTTTCTCTCCCTACTCTGTTGGACCGACAAACATTTTTAATTGATGTCTTGACTCTCAGGGGGAGAGGGAGAGAGAGAGAGAGAGAGAGAGAGAGACAGAGAGAGAGAGAGAGAGAGAGAGAGAGAGAGAGAGAGAGAGAGAGAGAGAGAGAGAGAGAGAGAGAGAGAGAGAGAGAGAGAGAGAGAGAGAGAGAGAGAGAGAGAGAGAGAGAGAGAGAGAGAGAGAGAGAGAGAGAGAGAGAGAGAGAGAGAGAGAGAGAGAGAGAGAGAGAGAGAGAGAGAGAGAGAGAGAGAGAGAGAGAGAGAGAGAGAGAGAGAGAGAGAGAGAGAGAGAGAGAGAGAGAGAGAGAGAGAGAGAGAGAGAGAGAGAGAGAGAGAGAGAGAGAGAGAGAGAGAGAGAGAGAGAGAGAGAGAGAGAGAGAGAGAGAGAGAGAGAGAGAGAAAAAAGATTGCCTGCCCACCCACTTTTATACGAATCTTCCCCTGTGGACTTGTTGAACCAGAAAATCACAGCGGAATGAAGATGACAATTAATAACTACGTAGTCGACTGTTAATGACAGGATTGAAACTTGAGTATTGATCACGAATCGTTTTATCCCTTTATTAGCGTTATAACCTGTACATCGTTCCATCATGCATCGATTACGGCGATACTAGACACGCATTGTCTCAGTTATCTCCTTCATTTTGATTACGAACTTGAGGCTTGAGCCATCAGGAAAGTTCGATTTTGTGATCGTATACCTTCCTCCGGTGTCTTCCTTCTTTCTTTTCTTCATTTCTCTTCTCTGTTTTTTGACTGTTCTCTCATGAAAATCAGTGGACTCATTCTTCTGATTTTCTCCTGATTCTACTTCACTCTCGATATACTCTGCGTCTCTCTTCTTTGCCTTCTTCTTCTGTCTTCGCCTGTCCTTCTTGTCTCTCTTCTCAAAAACCTCCCTAGACTCCTCTGCTTTCTCATCTTCTTGCCTTCCTGCTGCTGCGGTGGCTGGGACTTTCGCTCCACTTTTCGGATCATGGATAGAATGGCTTTGATCTCTTTGGTCCTTCTGTCCTTCTGTTTCAACCGGAAACTGATTCTCATCTTCGACATCTGTGAAGGAAGACGCTCGTCCAATTTGGCACTCTGTAGACAATGAAAATAAGTATGACGTTATTATTAGATTGACAATAAATTATAGATCAAGTGAAATTTCATTCAACGTACTCTTTTTAAAATCAATACATGTTGCCATCATATCCAAGAATTCAGGTACTTCTAATTTTGCCTCCGCCAACAGAACTTTCTGTGACCTTATGAACGCTTCCTTCCTATGATCACTGCCTCTGATCTCCTGGCGAGAGGCGCCCGCCTTAATGGCATCGAAATCTTGGGAAAGCGTATTTTGGACACCCACTAGAGTCCCTGCAAAATGAGCTTATTTTCTTGAAGCAATTCCAATATTCATCATCATTCAATCATCAGAAGATCACTATTATACAATAGTAGGTGAGTTCGGTCATTCATGAGAGTTTGAGATTAGTGAAAGAAAATATCCATCCATAAATATATGATATAAAGAAAACGAATATTTTGAAAAAAAAGAATTAAAATCGGTGCAGTAGTTTTTGAGATATTCACAAAAATAGATTTAGATACAAACGTGAATATCTCATAAACTAACCGGCCGATTTAGCTCATCTTCGAAAGCAGCCATCCTAGTGCCAAGAGATAACTTCATGCCAAATTTCAAGTTAATATATCGATTTTTGTGAAAGCTAGCGTGCGAACCACGATTTTGGGTGAAAAACCGAAAAATTAAAATATCTCGAAAACTTTGTATGAAAGGGTATGCATATATGAATGATTGAGATGGAACACATCAAGACGAATATTTTGAAAAAAAAAATGAAAATCGGATCAGTAGTTTTTGACATATTGGTGAAAAACGATTGAGTAAAAAATTGAAATTTCTCAAAAACGGCTGAGTCGATTGAGCTGAAATTTGGCACAGAGTTAGTCCACATCCATACCTACAATTTGACAAAATTTTAGATTTTTTGGAATAATTTCAGTCTTTCATTCCTTCAATTTTCTAAAAGTTGACCACGAGGTGGGACATCTGCACATATACACACTGTGCTCAAACTTCGTATTTTTACGTTTCAGACCATTCTACATCGTTTCCAAGCAAGATTAGACATTCGAAAAATTGAACGATTTCAATGCTTCCATTCGGAAGCAAAATGAAGGTGAAATTACTATCGAGATAAACCATAATTTGGGGATCATAATGGTATTTTTTTAATAATTACTATTAAGTGGACCATGGGGCAACCTAGTTTTAACGAAATGATGAAGTTCAGGAGAGAAAATAGTAAGAAATAGAACGTGCATAGGATCACATAAAAAACTGAATAGTAATTTGTGCATAGGTTCACATGAAAAACTGAATAGTAATCACTGACTTACGAACTTCCATGGACTCTCGTGCTTCCCAAAGTCAGAATTCATCGATCGATTTCGCGACTCTGCCGCATTATTAGTCCTTCGTACTGAATTGAATGCACACCATTTGCTTGGAGGACAATTGACAAACCATTGCTGGTGAACATACTCATAATACGCCTTCATTCTCTCTTTTGCCAAGG